GAGGAGGTAAAATTATCTCTATATGCAGATAATATATTAGTATACTTAGAAAATGCTAAGGGCTCAGCGAGAAAACTACTGGGCATAGTAAAACAATACAGAAAAATGGCAGGATGTAAGACCAACAAGAAAATCACTTGGTTTTCTCTATAGTGACAAAGAGAATACAGAACCAGAGCTAAGAGGAGCAATGCCCATCCCAATAGCTAAACACAAGATTAAATATCTGGGAGTAAATCTAACTAGAAACACAAAACACCAATTAAAAAAAAATAACAAAACATTACTATAAGAAACAAAAAGAGACCCAGAGAAATGGAAGAATATAGCATGCTCTTTGATAGGTAGACTCAATATTGTAAAAATAAAAATTCTACCGAAGGCAATCTACAAGTTCAATGCAATGCCAATACTAATACCAATTCCATTCTTCAATGAGATGGAAAAGGCAACTTCAAATTTCATCTCGAATGAAAATAGACCTCGAATAAGCAAAGCACTCCTGATTTAAAAACAAAACAAAACAAACACAACAAGGTAGAAGGCTTCTCACTCCCTGATCTCAAGTCCTACTACACAGCTGTTGTGGTCAAAACATCATGGTACTGGTACAGTGACAAGCACATAGATCAATGGAATAGAATTGAGAACCCAGGAATCAGCTCATGTACAAGGAGACAAAATCAGTTGAGTGGGGAAACAAAAGCATCTTTAACAAATGCTGTTGGCAAAATTGGAAAACTATCTGCAGAAAATTCAAGCAAGATCCATTCCTCACCATAAACAAAAAACAACTCAAAACAGATCCAGGACATAGGAGGAAAACCATGGATTATAAACTTTATCAGAAAAAAGAAAACCAAAACCAAAACCAAAAACCTTGGAAGAACTTTTGAAGTCCTAATCCACAACATGAATAGTCTTCCAAGCATCTTGAAAAATCTACAACAAGGAGAGGATTAAATAGATGAATGGGACCTTCTAAGAATCAAATTCCTATGCACATGAAAAAACTTTTCCTACTGGGTAAAAAGAAAAGTCATACACTGGGAAAAATATTTGGTAATGACATCTCTGATAATGTATTTTTATCTAGAATTTACAGAATACTCCAGTACCTCAACAAAATAAAGCTAAACAACTCAATGGCAAAATGGGCATATGGACAGACACTTTACCAAAGAAGACATTCAGATGGCAAACAAACGCATGAAGAAATGTTCAAAACCACAACCTATCAGAAAGATGCAAATAAAAACATCTGTGAGATATCATCTTACCCTAGTAAGTGTAGTAAAATTCAACAGAGCAGCAAACAACAAATGCAGAGATTGTGGAGAAATTGGAACCCTTATTCCCTGTTAGTGGGAGTGTAAAATGGTGCAACCACTCTGGAAGGCAGTACATTGCTTTCTCGAAAAGTTGTGAATAGAAATACCATTTGACCTAGCAATTGTACTATTGGGAATATACCCTTAAGAAATCAGAAATGCCACTCAAACAGATATATGCACATTCATGTTTATTGCCCTTGTTTTTCATAATAGCAAAGAGATGGAAGCAACCCAAGTGCCCATCAACAAATGGACAGAGAAGCTGTGGTATATTCACAAAATGGAATACTATACAGGACAGAAAAACAAGGAGCTCATAAAATATTCTACAAAATGGTGAGTTTGGAGACATTATGCTGAAATATTTCAGTTACTAAAGCACAAATAATGAACAATGCTGCTGTTTTAAAATAGGACTGACATGAAGGTTGAGGGGAAACAAAGAAAAGAGGGGCTACATAATGAACACTTCTTTGAAACAGATCAGGGAAAGATCTAAAAGAAATATATAATTGGGTATTATTTGCATGACAATAGTCCAGAATAAGAGGTGCATAACAAAGTGAATTTGGGGGCTGGAAGGAGGGAGGAAATTGTGCAACAATGAATTTTTTTTAAAAGAGAAAAGTGAACTAGGGGGCAGAGACGAAATTGTTCAACAATGAATTAGTGGAAATGCAAGTTTTCTGTAACTTTTGTTAAAATAGCAATTAAAAAATAAATTTGCAATAAAAAAATCAAAGAATATAGCTTTCAATATAGATTGTGTATCAACAACAAAGAAACAAAGATTCTTAACACTGGAACAATTAACAACATTATGGAGAAAAAATTGAAACGGACAACTTCATCTTACTTTAGATCCACTATTAATACCCTTGGTACTAGTAGTCAGGAAATGAGTAGATATATTGCACTGGGAAAGTCTGCTTTTTAGGGACTTCTCCAAATTATTGAGAAGTCATCATGTTAGTTTGAGCATTAAGGTGCATCCAGTTCAGGCTATGGTCTTTTAAATCACTTGTCATGTGTCTGAGAGCTGGACAATGAATAAGGATGACAGAAACATTGATAACTTGGGATATTCCTTGGGGAGGGACTTGATGCTCAGGAAGGCAGAGAGCTTGCAAAGGTGAAGACTCTCAACTAGGTGGACAGTACTCATTTATAGATAAAATATTAACTTCCTAAATATTTATCAGTAAATATTTAACTGACTACCTAGCAACAAAGCAAGACATTTGATTTAATCAAATATAAGATGTGTTCCGTTTTTCTCAGTGAGTCTTCCTTTTACTTTCATGAAGTGCAATTATTTATGAACAGCCTATGAAATGGCAAACTGATCCATGGACTTTATATTCAGGAAGTTAAATAATATGTAATGATTGGACTTGATCTGATTGCAGTAACAGTTTGCCAAGTAGATGATCTCTAGTGCCAGACTAGAAAGAGGAAACAGCATGGGGAGAAAGACTGGCGTGCTTCTGATTGTGGGGGTCTTCCTGGCATATTACATTTATACACCTCTCCCTGACAATATTGAGGAGCCATGGAGATTGATGTTTTTCAACACACTTTTGAAAAGTATGACACATTTGGTAAGTAAATATTTAAGAGTTTGATCAGGAGAAAAAATAATTACCTGGTTTACTTTTAAAGAACTTCTTGTCTCTTGTAAATTTTGTTCCAAAATTTTATTGCTGATTTTAAAACCTTTTAATGACTTTTTTCACCCCTTTAATTCAGAATATTTTCTTGATTCATTCATCCTTGTACAATTTCATTCTTTCCTCCTTTCCCCCGTAAGCTATTATTTGTCATATTCGTTGTTTATATGGTCCATTTATTTCAGAATGTCTCTCCTTTCACCTATTCTAGCTAGTGCAGAATCTTAAGAGAGTGAATAGGAGTTCTTAAAAAATTTCAAAATTTAAATATTAAACAATGCAGTGTGCTTAGAAAAGAAAAAATCTATGATTTATAAGATATGAATCTGATAGAATAAAAAATATTGCGTGGACATTTGAAGTATGGAATTCAGTAAGGAGCACTTTATATTGTCATCTTGGATTTGAGACAATCTGTTTCCATAAACATAGAGTCTCAACAATCCTAAGGTTTTCTACTTGGTCTTTAGACTCTCTACATGTCAGAATAAATTTTATTTCAGTGAATAATAGTAAAATTCAGATTATCTTGAAGAATATTGCTAGAAGTATGAACATTAAAGGTAATTCTGAAGAATCTTCTGAAGAGAAAACAGAAGATCAAAAATATCCTTCATCTTATAGATTATGTACATTGTTGTTGTTGTTGTTATGTTCATACCATGGAGTCAGAATAGACCCATCGCTGACCCTCTGGTGAATCTTCAGAGGCAGTTAATTTCACGGGAGTAGATTGCCCATCCTTCCCCCACAAAGCAGATGGTGGTCTCAATCTTTGTGCCTTTGGAATTGCAGCACAGCTTCTTGCCACTAGGCCACCACGGCTCCCTATGTATAGGTGTCATAAAACAATATTTGCGGGATATGTGGACATAGAAATTTGCTTCAGGTCAGACATTAAAAGAAAATGGTGAACCTACAATAGGACAATGAAAGAAGGTTGATGCTTTTCATGCAATGGCAAAAGACTTGTCTGAGTTACATTTAAATATTTGGTGAAAGGTGAAACTTGTTAAGTGATTGTCAAGCTTGAGTAAAAGGAGAGTGATATTTCTAAGCAAACTCTTCAACTAACTACACAATTTCGCCATGCTTTTAGGAGTGAAATGAGTATCTCAAAGAGAAGGAATTAAAAATTAACTACGCAAAATGAACACAGAAATTAAAGGTTTCAAAAGTTCTCTTGTACAAAGTACAGCCACATATCCTCGTAAGTTTACCAAAGATGTGATTATGCAATCTTTTGGTTGAGATATGAAGCCTGTGACTGATAATCAATTAAACTAACTTAAAAGAAAACACCTCAGCTCAGACTAAGGAATCAGAGAAAGAACTAAAGGAAATGAAGCTTTCTGACTGCTGGAATTCTACCTACAAAACACAGGTGAAACTGGTACGTCAGCTACCCTTCAAGAAAAGAAAAAAGCTCCTTCACAAAGCAGCTGAGCAATCAGTAGAACTGTTCGTGGCTCACAGGAAGAAAGATTTCAGGTTCAAAGGGTAGATAAATTCTTTCCTCTGTATTTCATAGAATGGGCACCAGTGTCCTAGTTTTCCAAATGACAGATTTATCTACCATATTTTGGAGTTTACCAAGTAATTTACATTTATCTAAACGTATTGGGAGCTTTCCCCTTGAATATTCTTTTGAATTGAAATTAATTTCCCTTCGTTGTTTAGGCTAATGCTTTTCTATTCCCATATTTATATCAGAGGTGACATGTTACTTAAAAATGATTGCTTAACTACAACCAGGAGAAGATAAAATAGATGAGTGGGACCTCCTAAGCATCAAATCCCTATGCACATCCAAAAACTCCTCCAACAGGGTAAAAAGGGAAGCCACCGACTGGGAAAAAGTATTCGCTAATGAAATGTCAGATAAGGGACTTTTATCTAGAATTTATAAAATACTTGAGCACCACAACAAGATAAACAATCCAACTGAAAAATGGGGACCGGATATGAACAGACTCGTCACCACAGAAGGTCTCCATAAATTTTCATTAACATTAATTAAAAAAATGATTTAAAAAAGTCAGGGATTGTATAACAATGAAAAACTTTTTTTTTTTAATTTTCAAAGAGAAGAGGGAACTGGGGGGAGCAGTGGGCAGGGAGAAAAGTGCAACAATGAATGAATGGAAATTCAAAGTCTCTACTCTTTCATTAAAATTAATAATAAAAAAGGAAAAAAGAAAAAAAAGTGCCTTGAGTGTGCGCGTGTGTGTGGTTGTGGGCGTGCGCACACACACATACTGACTTTACTGAACTAGTGCAAATTGGAATCTGCGGTAAATATTTTTAGAAAAAATATTCAAAGAAACTGCTTCAGTCTAAATCAGCTCAGGGTCAGATGGGAAAAATGGACACAAGTGTTCAAATTCACCATAATTACACGTGTCTTAGACTTACAAAATCATTTATTCTGGCAATGACCAATATAGACATTATGTCTAAGCAATTCTTAGGAGTTCCCATTCATCTATTTTATCTTCTCCTAGTTGTAGATAAACAATCATTTTTAAGTGGCATATCCACTCTGCTGTGCAGCCTTCGTTCTGGACTCCTGTCATGACAATAATACCTAATCACATATCCCTTTTAAACCGCTCTCTCCCTCATCTGTTTCAATGCAGTATACATAATTTATCCCATCTTTCTCAGTCTCCCCCCAAACCTGATGTCAGTCCTGTTTTATAACAGTGGCACTGTGCAGTATTTGTCCTTTTGTGACTGAGATATTTCACTCCACATAATGTCCTCCAGGGTCACCCGTTTTTTATAATATTTCATGAGTTCCTTGTTTTTCAAAGCAGCATAGTATTCCATTGTGTGAATATACCACAGCTTCTCTATGCAACTTTTTTTTGTTGATGGGCACTTAGGTTGTTTCTAACTTCTTGCTATTGTGAACAAAGGCACGATAAACATGGGTGTGCATATATCTGCTTGGGTGGTAGTCATGGTTTCTTTGGGGTATAGTTCCAGTAATGGAATTGCTGAGTCAAATGGTGTTTCTATTTGCTACTTTTTGAGAGAAAACGCCATTCTGCCTTCACAGTGGTTGCAGCATTTTACACTTCCACCAACATTGAATAATGGTTCCAGTTTCTCCGCAACCTTGTCAGCATTTGTTGTTTGCTGTTCTGTTAAATTTTGCTATTCTGACTGGAGTGAGATGATATCTTATAGTTGTTTTGATTTGCATCACCCTTAGAGCTCAGGATTTTGAATATTTCTTCATGTGTTTGTTGGCCATCTGAGTGTCTTCTTTGGTGAAGTGTCTGTTCATATCCTGTGCCCATTTTTCTATTGCGTTGTTTACCTTGATCTTGTGGTGCTCGAGTATTATATAAACTCCAGACATAAATCCCTTATATGACATGTCATTGTTGTTATTGTTGTTGTTATGTGCCGTCAAGTCGCTTGCGACTCATAGCAACCCTATGTACAACAGCCCTAAACTCTGCTCTATCCTGTGCCAATAGCACTGCCTCTGACACACCCATCCTGATTACCCCAGTCACTGAATCAATCCACCTCATAGAAGGTCTTCCCCTCCTGCACTGTCCCTCTACTCTACCCAGCATGATGTCCCTCTCCAAGGACCTCTCCCTCTTTACAATATGTCCAAAATACATCAGATGAAGCCTCAGAATCCTTGCCTTCAAGGAGCAGCCTGGTTTAACCCTCTCTAGGACGAATCTCTTTGTTTTCTTGGCAGTCCATGGTACATTCAATACTCTTCTCTAGCACCACAGCTCAAAGGCATCAATTCTCCTTCTATCCTCCTTAGTCTTTATGCAACTCTCTCATGCATAACAAGTGATTGCAAAGATCATGGCCTGTAACGGACGCACCTTAATCTCCAGAGTGATACAATGGCTCTTCAATACCCTGGTGAGGTCCCTAACAGCAGACTTTCCCATAGCAATACATTTTTTTTTTTTGTTTCCTGGCTACTGGTGCCAAGAATGTTGACTGTGGAGCCAAGCAGACTAAAGTTGTTAACAATCTCAATCTCTTCACCATCCATGCTGATCCTGCCAATTGGTCCAGTGGTGAGAATCTTTGTCTTCTTGACATTGAGCTTCAATCCATACTGAAGGCTGTGGCTTCCGTTTTTAACCCTGTGGGTGAAGGTTTTGGATGTGCACAGGGATTTGATTCTTAGAAGGTCCCATTCATCTCTTTTAGCCGCTCCTGTTTGTAGATTCAAGGCATTTATTAAAGTAGGGCCTTTGAACATGCAATGTCACTTACTGTACCACTCAGATAAAACTGAGAAAGTGTATCCCGACTATTAGTGACATAATGAAAAGAGTGGATAATTCTATGTTCACAAATATTTTTAGCATTTTATATTTTTCCATCTGATGATTGTCCCTTTTTTTTCAGGCTACATTTGCTGAAGTATTGGGAATCAGTAATTTGTTTGACACTATGAAATTGTTTTCACCATTTGATGAAGTCCCACCCACATCTGATGAAAATGTCACTGTGACAGAGACAACTTTTAACAACGTTCCTGTTCGTGTATACGTGCCAAGGCGAAAGTCAGAAACACTGAGAAGAGCCTTATTTTATATTCATGGTGGTGGCTGGTGTTTGGGGAGTGCTGGTATGTTCCCAAGAAAACTTTATTTTATCATATAAGGAATTTCTTATTAAGATGTACTCCCCAAATAGTATGTATGCTAAACATTATAACAGATAAGAAAATACCTTGGCTGTTCCAAACTGAATTTTTGGTGCTGTGTTAGCTTTAATTTCATTTAAATTATTTAAAAATTTTAGTATTTTAATAAAATACTTTATGTAATTATTTATTGCTATTTTAATTTTATTAAAGTGATTTTTTAAATTTCATTTAAAATCTTTGAACAGCCAGATAGGTTAACAATGTCTTCACAAATCATTCAGTGATATTGATTATATTTTCTGCAACATGTCATCATTCTCATTCATTCTGTTCTGATAGACCATTCCCAGTGACGTAAATTTCCCTGCCTGTACATTTTTATAATAGCTTTGGAATAAATTTTGAGCTGGTGGTCTCATACTGATAATTTTTTTAAAGGATTTCATTAAATACAGTATTAAAGTAGTGAATTTTTTAGATGAGGAAGTATTTCTGGTTAGGGGTTAAAGAATATCACAGAGAAATAGTCTTAAGGTAGTTCCACTGATACAATAAGTCTAGATCTTTCACTTATCTACATTTGGTTCTTGTACATTTTTTCCCTGTTCTGTAAGGATTTGTCTATTTTGGCCCCAATAAAGATGAATGGTAGAGGTGGCCAGCTACCATATATTCCTTCTGATCTCAGGGTATGCTAGATATATTTTTTTTCTGAAGATCACTGTCAGTGCCAAAAATCAATAGCAATTCTTAGATCAGGAAAGAAAGTCTGTTATGAATTTAGAAACTTTTATCAATAATATTAATTTCAGATTTGGTGGACTAGTGCAATGAAAATAAAAATGGGATCACAAGAGTAGATGAAAAGTGAGCAAATGGAGATGGTAATTCCATTCTTTGAGTAAGTTTTTTCCATAGTCTCTCAATTAGAAAGTCCATTTATTCAGTTTGTGGGTTTTTAAAATTTTTAATAAATAGTTAAACAAAACACACAAATGAAACAAAGCCAAAGATGAAACCAGGTATATTCTGTTCTCCTTTCCCTCCACTGTCATCCATAGTAACCCTCCAAGATTAATTCTAAATGCATATAATTTTTTTCCTTACATTTTATGTTTACTGTCCTAAATTACAATTTTACTCTTGCGACTAACGCATGCAATTCAGCATATTTTTTTCTCAAATTATCATGTTGTTCAGTATTTCACATTCTTGGTAACTTTCAGTGATGCATAACACTTGGTTGTGTGAATGTATTATGAATTCTTTGGCATTTCTATTCCCAACTTTCTTCAGAAGTGTCAGTTTTGGTGGGAAGGAAATGAGAAAGAATGTGTTAGCTAGAAAAAATATGGATGTTAGATAAAGGGTGATTTATCTCTATTTTCTATACACTAGGTCCATGAATATGTTTATAATCTCAAAATAGATGAGAACAATAGTGATTCTGTGCTGGGAATTCGCAGAGATGACATGAGATTTGACTGATACTGAAGCATAGAAGGGAATAGAGTTCAGAAGGAAAGAGGGAAGTTTGCAACATATATGAGGAAGAACAAGTTCCTCCAGTGTTGAAAGAAGTGATTAGGCATTGATATAGATTGAGAACGTGATATAGAGAAAAACCATGTTGTGATACTGTTTATATTGTAAAGTTCAGGGAGTAAACTACACAATTGCCAATCTTATAATGTTTCTAAAGCAAGATCTGTGAGCTTTCTCAGTTGGCTTTCCATGAATTCTCACTGTTCAGATCACAGCTTTCCAACCTTTTCCAATAAGTTATAACCAAACAATGAGAGTATTTTTAATGAGGTAAAATAATAAAACCAAAGATAATCTCTGAAGCAAATGGGAATGTTCCTGGTGCTTTTAATTTTAATATCTAAAAAAAAAATCTTGGAAATGCTTAATCTATTATACTCATAATCCAGAATAGAAGTATGATGTGTATAATAAAGCTTTTAATATTAAAATTCATTGACTACTTAATATTTTAAGAATGTTGAGGACTTGGTTTTAAAACCTCACACGATTGTATCTACTTCCTTTTTCTTGATATAAACGGCTCATCAAGAACTTTCCCATTTATGTTAATACTTCCCCCTAAGCATTTAGGGACTTCTCTTACCTGTCATTACTCAAAGATATTCTTTCCCTCCTCTGAAAAAGTTTTAGTCACAGAGGAAGCATTTACTAAAATCCCATAGAGTACATGTGTGACTCCTCCTCCTGCCCAAACAAATACCAAAACCACACTTCAAACTAGTCCTTCCTGTCTGTCTCAAAACTATTAATATATAAACCAAATTTTAGGTCTACTCTGTTTCCTCTATTTATTCTTCCCTGTCTTCCACTGGCAATTTCATGGAGTCTTAAACTCCCACAAAATGCTTTAAGTATTAGTCGTCCCTACTGGATAAAATACACAAAGCCAGTTTCTTCACAAGGATGCTACCTTTTCTTAAACAGATACAACTGACCTGTGTTGAAGAAAGATCCAGTCCACTCTCCCTCTGTTTTGGGAAATACAGAAACTGGTGGAGGCAGATCCAGGGATATTCCGTCCACATCCTTGAAGAAATATTTTCTTGGACTTTCACAGTCTGATTCAGGGCTGACCACTCTTGCTAAATCTGTCCTGTGAAGAAAGAAAGCAATGCACACTTCAAGAACAAGACCCATGCCTTTACAACCTCTTGCTCTCCCAAAGGAAAGAACTTTAATTGGCTTTCAGTGTTAATAACATGTAACATAAAGATGAAAGTAAGCTTTCTCTAAGTTATTATCCAGTTAATTGGTTATAAAAGAGACTTTCTTATTAAACAAATATTCAAGTTAAAAAAATGCTTTATGTACTAGCATTACATGAACCAATGCTTCGCATTATTGTTGGTTGGTTGTTAGGTGGCTTTTTCTGTATGTGGTTTTTTTGGCTTATATCTTTCTCTCTTTCTGCTCTTATCTTTTTTACACTGACTTACTAAACGTCACTACGCTGATCTGCCAAATCCAAATCGTTCCTACTTCCAAACTTAACACCTGCAGAATGGAAATGGATTAATAATGAAGTCAATCAGCTGATTTACATTATCCATTGTCAAAATATTCAGAAGGATGAAAAACCTTATCAAGAACTTGAGAAAGATCCCTGAGCAGAATTCACATTCTCTAGTTATCATGGATCTTAGAAATAACTTTCTCTGAGATATCTAGTTATGAATAAAGTATGTATAACAAGCTTTCTGATGAAGAACAATCTATGCTTTTATTTGTTAGTAGGCATTAATGGACTGATTTTGTTTCCTTTATTTCAGCTATGGTTAATTATGACAATCTGTCAAGGCTGACAGCTCACAGACTTGATGCTGTTGTCATATCAACCAAGTAAGGATCATGTTGATTTGCCTGATTATTTATGCTTTATATTGTAAGATAATGTTACTGCTCTTGCCCATGGTATGATTATTACAGGATTGTCCTGAATTTATGTGGTTGAGAATAGAGAAAGTGAGTTTGAGTATGAGCAGAACGGGATCAGAAGGGAAAAGGGTTCCCATTCATTTGAGCAAGTCATAAAAGTTAAAGCAAAAAAAACTGTGTGGATAAAATGGAAAAGTAATTGTAACACTTAATGAAGTTGTTATTATTATTATTATTATTATTATTGTTGTTGTTGTTAATCTTGGGATATTCAGTTAGGTAACACTAATTTTCCCTTACTCCATAAAGCCAAAGTTTAGTATTAAATCTTTTACTTATTTAAAAATTACATTTTAAAACCTCACATATGATAGGGTTCTATGGTTATCACAAGAGTCCAGAATTAAGTTTGCATAGTGGAGTGTACTCGGTAGTGGGAAGGGTGCGGGGGGATTGTATACCAAAGAAAGAAGTTTTCTTTTACTTTTCAAAGAGAGATGTGAACTGGTAGGGGGAGGTCTGGGCAGGGAGAAAAGTGCAACAATGTATGAATAGAAATCAAAAATATCTGTAAATGTTCACTAAAATTAATAAAATAAAATTTTTTAAAAAACCCTCACATATCAAGCATCATCAAGAAAAAATAATATCCAGTTTGATATAGAAAACCTGATCATGTGGCAGCAAACATATATGCATACATTTCCCCAATACAAAGTCCATTTTTTCTATTTCAACATTATTTTTCTACATTATTTTTTATTGGCTTACAAAGTTTGTATAAATTGTGTTTCATACAATTTTTAATTCACATTGTGTTTCATACAATTATTTCCATACATTATGTTTTATTAAATTAATCACTGTTGGAGATTGTCCATCATGACCCTGTTTTTTCACCCAAGTCTTGCCCATCCACCCACCAGACTGTGCAGTCCTGTGGTTTCACCTACCTAGCCTCACCCCAACCCCTCTTTGAGTTCTTATACATGTTTTACTAATTGTCCTTCTCTCTATACAATAATAGTCTTATGAACTACATTATTTGTCCTTATGAGACTGAGTTAATTCACTCAACAGAATGTTCTCCAGACTTTCCCAAGTTAGAGAGCATTTTCAAAATCATTGCTCCTGAGTGCTGCATAGTATTCCATTGTGTAATTTCATTGGCAATAAGAGAGATACAAATCAAAATCACAATGAGATACCATCTCATCCCAGTAGCTGTGGCAAAGTTTAGGAGGACAGCAAGCAATAAAGGTTGGAGAGGATGTGGAAAGGTGGGATTGTAAAATAGTGCAACCACTCTGGAAGACCATTTGACATTTCCTAAAAAAACTTGAACACAGAAGCTCCACATGACACAGCTATTCCACTACGAGAAATATACCCTGAGGAAATTAGAACTGAGATACAAACAGAGATTTGTACAACAGTGTTTATAGCAGCGTTATTCACCATCTCAAGAACATGGAAACAGCCCAAATGTACAACTACAATCAAATAGATTCTGAAAGTGTGGTACATTCTATTACAATGAATCACTTAGAAAATAATTGTTATTCTGCCTACAGCTACCGACTAGCACCCAAATATAACTTTCCAATACCATTTGAAGATGTATATAATTCATTAAAGTGGTTCTTACAGCAAGATATTCTTGAAAAGTATGGTGTTCATCCTGAAAGAATCGGTGTTTCTGGAGACAGTGCTGGAGGAAATTTAGCTGCAGCAGTGACCCAACAGGTAAGATGCCTATATCTATATTTCTTGTTGTTATGTGCTGTTGAGTCACCTGTGATTTATATCGATCCTATGTACATCAGCCTTAAACCCTGCTCTATCCTGTGCCAATCTCACTGTCTCCCATTACCCCAGTCACTGAATCAATCCACCTCATAGAGGGTCTTCCTCTCCTACGCTGTTCCTCCACCCTCCCCAGCATGACGCCCTTCTCCAAGGACTAGTTCCTCCTTGCAATATGTCCAAAGTATGTCAAAGCTTCAGAATCTTTGCCTCCAAAGAACAGCCTGGTTTAACCTTCTCCAGGATAAACCTGTTCGTTTTCTTAACAGTCTATGGTATATTCAATACTCTTCTGCAGCACCACAGCTCAATGGCATCAACTCTCCTTCTATCCTCCCTAGTCATTGTCCAAGTCTCTGATGGATAGCAAGTGATTGCAAAGACCATGGCCTGTATAAGATACACCTTAGTTTCCAGAGTGACACCATTACTCTTCAATACTTTGGAGAGGTCTCTATATATCTATATCTATCTATATCCATTCATCTCTATCTATCTATCTCTCTATGTATATGTATATTTAACTCTGTTAAGCATATTTATTACAAAGTTTAACATATCTGGACAAAAAAGCTCTTCTGCTAATATTAAATTTTAATATTGTCCTTCCAGTTCTGCCTTCTGCATGACTCCTTTTCTTTCTCTTGTTTAAGAAATTATAAAATACCTCATTCTAATCATCAGCATAATTATTATAATCAATTAACTTCTATATAATTTTGGTATGTTAAAGGATGTGTTTGTAAAACCAATTAATGACACCACTTAGCATAACTCCAGACTAAAATTATTTCAGAATTGTTATGTGTAACAAAATGTTTTACTATGCTTAATATTTTTGTAAAGAAGATCCTGTTTATAAAAATTCCTTAAATTCCTGATTTTTTGGAAATGACCCAATTTCTTCTTCATATTTGAGGACAGTTTTGCAGGGTTTAAGATTCTTGGTTAGCTATTGTTCTCTTTCAGCTGTTTGCATATTGTCACCCAGTTTTCTTCTTTATTGTGGCTTTTGTTGTAAAGTCAGAGCTTAATCTAAACGGTTATTCTTTATAGATTATTATTAATTTTTCTGCTGTCCTGAAGAAATTGGTTAAAATTTAAGGTCCAGGATACATCAAGTGCCAGAGGCAGCCCTGGGCATGTTCACCAGTCTATGTTAGGACACTGAGCAACAAAAATAACTACAATATCCTTGTCTTTGATTTTGGAGAATTTAACTATATGTCTTGATATTTTTATTTTGGGGTATCGTCTGTTTGGAGTCACTAAGCTTCTTGAATGTGTATTTCCTATATTCCATGATATTTGGAAACTAGAATCTTCTAGAGTCTCTTCCACATTTTTCCCAATGCTTTCCTCTTCCTAGCCGTTCTTGAACTCTAATGACATGAATGTTGTTTCATCTGATATCATCCTACATGATTTGTACGTTTTACTCATTTTCCTTGCACTTCTATCTTTTGGTTGTGGGATTTCTTTTCCCTTTTTGTAAGTTCTTATTGATGTTCTTGTCTAGTATCTTGCTTTTCTGTCCCTCCAATATGTTGAAGATCTCTGCAACATAAGTCTTCTTATTTTTATTTACATCTTCAAGTTTTTCTACTGTTTCTAGCACTTGATGGTTGTATCCTCTCAGTCCTTAATTTATTTGAGTTAGTTTTTATGTTTGTTTACTTATTATTTTATTTTTCTCTTCAATCATTTGTAACTTCCAGTACCAATTTTTGGAACTCCACAAAGGTGTATTTCTTCCATGTTCATGTCTCCAGATTATGCATTGAGTCCTTGATCTATATTTTTCCTTTTAATATTTCTTTTATATTGCTATGCTTGCATAGTTCATAGCCATTGTATTTCACACTATGTTTTATTCACATTGTATTTCACAAAATCATTCCCATGCATTGTGTTTTATAAAATTAATCATCATTGGACTATGCCTGTTATTATCCTGTATTTTAAGGTCCCTACTGGATCTTTCCTGTTTCCTTTACTCCCACCCTCCACCCATCAAACTGTGCAACCCAGTAGTTTCGTCCCTACCCATCTTCTCCCCTCTGCTCCCATCCCTTCCTCCTGTTGGGTCCCCATACATATTTACATGTTTTACTAGTTGTCCTTCTATTTTTGCTTCTTTTTTATTTTTAATTTTTTTAATTATAATTTTAATGAAAGTTTATAGAGAAGTTAAATTTTAAATCCATTCACCCATTTGTTGCCTATTTTCCTCCATACACACCCTAGTTCACTTAAAAAAAATACATTTAATTGTTGCATAATTTCCTCCCTTCCCTGCCCACTCCTAGTCCACTTTGCCTATGCACTTTTTATTCTGGACTGCTGTCATATAAATAATGCATAATCATATATCCTTTTAAACAGTTCTTTCCTTCATCTGTCCCAATGCAGTGTTCATTATTTATCCCATCTTTTCTTAGTTCCTCCCAACCCCCACCTAAGTCTTGCTCTATAACCGTGGCATGATGTGGTACTTGTTCTTTTGTGACTGTAATATTTCACTCCAGGGTCACCCATACTGTGTAACATTCTATTAGTTCTTGGTTTTTCAGTGCTGCATAGTATTTCATTGTGTGAATACACTTCTCTATCCAGTCATTTGTTGATGGGCACTTGAGTTGCTTCTATCTCTTTGCTAATGAGAATAATGTAGCAATAAGAATTGGTATGGAAATATCTGGGTGGCAGCTCTGGTTTCTTTTTTTCTCCCTTTTTCCTTATTCTTGTTACATTTTTAATTGAGATTTTAATGAAAGCTTATAGAGAACTTGGTTTTCCATTCATTCATTGTTGCACCATTTCTTCCCTACCCTCCTCCCCGAAAATTATTTCATTGTTGTACGGTTTCCTGTCCCCTACTTTCCCCACTTCACTTTGCTGTGCAGCTCTTATTCTGGACTTTACTCATGCAAATAATACATTCTTTTTAAACAGTTCTTTGCCTCATCTGTCTCAATGCAGTGTACATTATTTATCTCCTCTTAGCTCTGGTTTCTTTAAGGTCTATTCCTAGTAGCAGAATTGCTGGGTGAAATGCTATTTCTACTTCCAACTTTTTGAGAAAGCACCAAACCTCTTCACACTCCCATCACAGTGAATAAATGTTCCAACCTCTCCACAACCTCACCATTTATTGTTTGCTGCTCTGTTGAACTTTGTTGTTGTTGCTGGGGTGAGATGACATCTCATAGCTGTTTTGATTTGCATCTCTCTGATAGGTAGGTATTTTGAACACTTCTTTGTGTGTTTGTTTGCAATCTCAATACATTTTTTGGTGAATAGTTTTACTTATTTTAAGAAAAGACTTGTTCTGTTTTGTGTTTTCATAACGTTTGAACCTGACAGTTCTTTCTTGGTATGTATGATATAATCTCTATAGCATCTGAGTAGTTGCCCACTTATTCGCTTAATATTCTCAGTATCTTAAGAGCCATTTCCTCAACAGTTCTCAGTTGCAGCAGTGGCATGTGGGCTTCTAGGGAAGAGTTGACACTGGAATGCTCATGGCCAAGTGCAGGAAGTCTGGGCATTCCAGTAGCTGCCATTCCAGTGAGTATGAGTGAGAGATCTGTGACCAGCTCACTCCTTCATCCAGGATCAGGACAGGGGCTGGCTTTCCAGAAGAGGTCCATGTGCAGTAGCTAGAGACAGAATGGCCTCTAGGTGTGGGGCCGACTCATGGATCGCCCAGGAGGCACTTCCCTCGCTGCTGGCTGGTCCTTAAAGGCTGAGCACATACAAAGTCAGGGCAGATTCATTACCCTCAGGGCACTCTCCTTTCTGCTTGTTGTTGTTGTTGTTGTGTGCCGTCGAGGCGCTTGCGACTCATAGCGACCCTTTGTACAACAGCCCTAAACCGTGCTCTATCCTGTGCCAATCTCATTGCCTCTGATACATCCATCCCGATTACCCCAGTCACTGAATCAATCCACCTCACAGAGGGTCTTCCCCTCCTGCACTGTCCCTCTACTCTACCCAGCATGATGTCCCTCTCCAAAGACCTGTCTCTCCTTACAACATGTCCAAAATATGTCAGGCGAAGCCCCAGAATCCTTGCCTCCAAGGAGCAGCCTGGTTTAACCCTCTCTAGGATGAATCTGTTTGTTTTCTTGGCCTTTCTGCTTACTGGTCCTCAAAGACAGAGGTCTCAAAAAATTTATTATTATGTATCCTACTAACAGCATACATCTTCTAAATCCCTAAAATGTGCATATTTATTTCGAGATGTTATTTGTTTAAATTTAAGTAAATGTGCATCAGGGTTGTATCCTTCGTCCATACCTATCCAATCTGTATGCTGAAAAAAGTCATTCAAGGACCTGGACATTTTGAAGAAAAATGTGGGTTCAGGATCAGACACCACAATAACCTGAATTATGCAGTTGACAAAATCTTACTTGTTGAAAGTGAGGAGGAATTGAAGTGCTTGCTGCAGAAGATGAAACTACAGCCTTCCGTATCAATTGCATCTCAACATCAACAAAGCAAAAATTCTTATTAGACTGATGAGTAACATCAATATATGTGGAGAAAGGATTGACATTGATAATGCTTTTATCTAATTTGAATCCACATCAACATCCTTGGCAACAACAGTCAGGAGATCAGGAGATATAGTGCATTGTGAAAATCTGTAGTCAAGAATCTTTGCAAATAACTGAGGAGCAATGTTGCTGATTTGAATACTAAGGTGCGTCTGCTTCAGACTATGGTCTTTTCAATAATTTTCTATGCATCTGAAAGCTGGACAGTGGATAAGGATGAAAGAAGACGACTTGATGACTTTGAGCTGTGGTGCTAGAGAAGGGTGCTGAATATTCCGTCAATTGGCAAAAGGAGACATATCTTGGACAAAGTGCAGTCAGAATGCTACTTGGAGGGAAAGATGACAAAACTTTATCTCACATACTTTGGCTTAT